GAGATTATGTAAAGGTGCAAATTTCCAATGATGAATGTCATTATATTGTATACCTAAAATGTACCAATAAAATAAAAATTTTTTTTAAAAAAAGAACTTGTCAGTTCAATTTTTATGAGCTGGGATAGATGAGGATGCAGAAGACAGCGATTATAGGCAACTGGAAAATTCTGAATGTAATGTTATCTATATGTAAATAATGTCACTCTGCCAATGTTAAATTTCTTCAATGTGATGTAGTATTATAGTTATATAAGAGAATATCCCTCATTTAAGAGATGCATGTTGAAGATATTATAGAGGAAAATATAGTGTCTCTAGGTTATTATCAAATAGAGGAGACAGGAGAAGAGGGTAGGGAGGAAGAGAAGAAGAAGGATAACATGGAGGAGAGTGGCTGGGAGAAAAGGAAGGGAAAGAAGGAAGGAAGGAAGGAAGGAAGGAAGGAAGGAAGGAAGGAGAGAAAGAAGGAAGGCTGTCAGGCAAGCAGTTTAGCAAAATGTCAACAAGTGGTGAATGTAGCCATGGGGTGTTCATTACACTGTACTATTCTTTCATCCTCTTTGTAGATTTATAATTTTAAAAAGCACTAAATTGGAGAGAAAAGAAAACAAAACAAAATGGCATGAGAAAAATATGTATCTTAAGAAAAAAGAAAAGAAAGAGTAAAGGTACTTGAGCATTAAGTATGTCAAAGCACTGATGGTCAACAACTAGAGGAATGAACAGGAGAGGAAGAAGGAGCAAGCAAGGATCCCCATCACTCCCTCCCCCACAGATACAGAACATACAGATTAATCTTTGAGTGATGAAGAGCTTTAGAAAGCATCTTATCTGATGTCAGCATCTCATTGAAGAGGAAAATATGAGAGATTCCAGCTCACAATGATTTCCTCTATATCCCACAGTGCCAGTAAAGCCCACTTAATGGAAATTATAACTGAGGAAAGAGCCAATAATGAGTAGAATAACAATGGACTCTCTAAACTTTGAGAAAGTTCTTTAGGGAACAGTTAAGGTGAAGGAAACAATGTCATTCGTTGTTTTTCCATGAAGGTTCCAAATTGAAATGTAGGACTTAAAATTGAGAGTGAAAGGGAAGAGTATCAATATGGGCTGGCAGTGGCCAGAGAGAGTCTCCAAAGCAGTTGTGAATGGTTTAATTGTTAGATTTTTAAACAACCAAAGTAAATAGATGTTTACCAAGAATAATACCAAGACTTACAGGAATATTTGGTTTGTAATCTAGCATTTTTCAGGTTAAAAATAAAGAACAAATACTTTTAATAAGAACAGTCTCCATTAGAGAAATTTTTTGTCATAGCTTAAGTACCAAACTTCAAAGCCAAAAAGGTACAGTCTTTTCTGGCTCCTTAGCACTCAGATAAATTGAATCAAGACATTTCTCAGCAGTCTCAAGGGAAGAAATTAAACAAAATATATTAGTGTTCTCAAAGTGCTCCAAGGGAGCAAAGAGGCAATAGACTATTAACTGAAAACCCATCAGCATAAAATTTTAAGTGTAGAATGAAGTTTAGGAGAATGAAATTGCAAAGTTTAATTTCTGTTACGTGGAAAACTTCCAATTATCTAAGTCAGAGTAGCATATTAGAAGCGACTTGAACTTTGAAATCTGTCAGATCTGGCTCCAATTCAGGTTCAACCACCAACTAGTGTGTAACTTTGGACAGTTCTTTATTTTAAGTTTCAGTTTCCTCATCTATGAAATAAGACTAGAGATTCCTCCCAAAATGTTGGTGAGAAATAATGGCTGTAGTAGGAACTCAATAAATGATAGTTTATTATTAGTGTTCTCTCACCTGTTATATCACCAAAGAAGTAAAATAACAACAGTAACAATAATAATACAAAATCAATGCTACTTCTCTAAAAGGGAGGTGGATAGCCCACAAGAAAATGACAACATTCACTTTATATATAGGCTACTGTTTCTCAAAGCTGTCATGATATTTCAGAGCCAGTGTACTATGGTGGGGCTGAATGACCAAGCAGGAAAAATATTCCTTAATACTAGACAGACCACTAGAAACAGCAATACAATTCTCACCTTGGCTCTACCACTTCCTAACTGTGTTCTTGCACAAATTATTTTGCCTCTCAAAGCCTCAGTTTCCTTTTCTGCAGAGAATGACCCTCCCTAAGGCTGTAAAGATGAAATGTATGTGAAAGAGGTTGGCTAACTATACAAGTACTCTGCAAATGAAAGGAGGTAGCATAAAACTTTGTAATGGTTGAGAGCTAAAATACTTTTTAGTCAGAATTCCATGGGCTCAACCCCCAACTCTGGCAGTTGAAAAGTTGTACAAGAATAAGCTGCTTCAACTATATAAACAGAAATAATACTTTACTCAGGTTTATTACAAAGAGTAATTAAAATTATGTAGAAAATGTTGAGTACTCTCTCTGATAGTAATCAGGAAATAATAGCTATTATTTTATATTAAGAGCTTTCAAAATATTCATAGCCCTTGACACAGTAATTCCATATAAAAATCACCTGATTTGGGGAACAATGCAAACTAAGGAAACAGTTTTGCATAAAGAAATTCTTTGAAGTGTTATTTGTATTTGTTTTTTTTTCTTTTAAAAAAAGGATCTAATACTAGAAGAATATTTAAGTATGTTATGGCCTATCCATTAAACGAAATAGTTAGCAATGGCTAAAATGATGCTTACAAAGCATTTATAACAATGTAAGAAATGTTTACATAATACCATAAAGCAGCAAATGAGACTACAATAAACCAATATTCAGGATGATAAGAATCTACAGTAATTATACCAAAGGTGGGGGGTGGGACACCTGGAAGTTGTTGTCTCTAGGAAGTAGAATGATGAGTAAATATTATTTATTTCCCGCTGGTTTTCTATATTTTCCAAAATTTCTCAATGAGAAAAAAAAACTTTATAAGTAAAATGTTCATCTATGGATAAATGTAAATACACACCACTATGTCAGCTTTCAGCAAGAATACAGTTAGAAAGTAGTAGAGCCAAGGCGAAAATTCAATTGCTGTTTCTAGTGGTCTGTCTAGTATTAAGGAATTTTTTTCCTGCTTGGCCATTCAGCCCCACCATAGTACACTGGCTCTGAAATATCATGGCAGCTTTGATTTACATATTCAACAAGAGATAATAGAAGACAAAAAGAATTATAAAGAAATACTCTGGACAAGTATATGTTAACAAATTAGATAATTTAGATGATATGGATAAATTCTTAGAAGGATACAAACTACCAAAAATGACTCAAGAGAAAAGGAAAAACCTGAATAGAGTTATAACAAGAAATAGGATAAGTAATCAAAAAACTACCCACAAGGAAAATCCCCATGCCTAGAAGGGTCCAATGATGAATTCTACCAAACATTTAAAGAATTCATACCAGTTCTTCCCAAACTCTCCTCAAACATGGAGGAGAAGGGAATATTCTTCAACTCATTTTATGAAGTCAGTACTACCCTGATATCAAAACCAAAGACATCTTAAGAAAACTGTAGACCAGTGATGACAAGCCTTTTAGAGACGAGTGCCCAAACTGCAACTGCAAACCTACTTATTTATCACAAAGAGGCAACATAGCAATTAAACCTGAATACTGAGGTTTTAATTTAGAAAAAACAACTCATACAATTCGTGACATCATCTCAGAGAAGGCTCTGCATGTTCACTGTGGCACGCGTCCCATAGATTCACCATTATGGCTATAGAGGACTCTACATCCTAAACACTCTTGTTTTACCTTGAGCCTGAATAAACTTTGAACCAAGGTGTGGGCTTGAAACTGGGGTAATTATCTACAACCTAGATAACAAAGGAAGGGAGTTTAAGAGGAAATTATTCATATAATTGTCCCAGCTTGTTTTTATTTTAATTTCCTGGTAGAGCCTATGTCCCTTAAACATTCAAGTGAGTCTCAACTAGATTCTAGTAGCCATGAAAAAGCACCTTCATAGAAAAGACTCTAATTATATTGGGGGGGGGAATTATCTATTCAGAAATGATACACTTTTTTGGAAACAGATGATCTAGCAATCCCCAAATCCTCCCTACAATACTTTTAAAACATGAAGCAAATCTCATGAAGCTCTTTGTTGAACAGATATATTAAAAATGTAATCATTGAGTTATAAAAGCTAATAAAATTTAATGATGCTACTAAATGTCACAAAGGCATGGATATAGCTATTTATAAAAATGTTGAATAAACACATATAAATTATAGTGTCTTCTTTGTTCCCTGTCACTGTGTTATAAATTGGGATTTTATATTGGCATATTTTCAACTGAAATTAAATCAAACATAAGAAACCTCTTAGATAATACTTTATAGTGCATAATAAAGTCAAATCTTCCTCAGGTAGTTCCCCCAGTATTTCACCTTCAGTTCAAGTGATGATGCCTTGTACAAAATCACACAGGGCAGCTCGAGAAACATGGGAGTAAATGAGAAAGGGGGAGAACATGAGTGGGGTCACTCACTCTTTTTCATTCATAAACACAGGCGCATTCCTGGCACTCACCTTTCTCAGATTTCTTGTTGTTCAATGAAGAATTCCCACAGCCCATGGCTTCTTAATCATATTATGTTCAAGAATTCAACTGCTGATTCCAAGAAGTGTGACGTCTCCCCCCTTTGTGCTGAGGAGCCACTCTTAGCTGATCCCCTTCAATTATAGATTCTGAAAAGGAAAGCAGAGAAGGGAGGGAAAGCAACAGTTAACAACATGATAGCTAAGGGGCTGCCCAGCAGGATACATTTTATGCTTCTTGGGAATTGCTGTTCATTATGTGATATGGAAAATGATCAGACATAATCTGATCCTGCTTTATTTTCCAAACCACAGCAGCAGCCACTGAGCAGTTATAGATTGTTTTTCTGCTGCACATAAATTATACTTTCCTCATGTCTAAGTCAGGTCAAGTTCTGCATAAAATTAAGCATTAATAATGGAAAGAAAAATTGAAATGTAGGCGTTATAATTTTCTAATTGAAATACAGAGAATAGAAGATGGAGGAGACATAATTTAATTGTTTTGGCTTTAAACTCAAAGTAATTAAATCTATCTAGGCTTTTAAAAACACAAATTGGCAGTTTTCTGTGAGACAAAAACAACATATTTAAACAACTATCCCACAATTCAAATCAAAGTGAGTTTTTTGACAATATTTCTCACAATCAGTTGAGGCTTGTTTTTAAAAAAGTTGGCACAAGACCTTCCCCTAAATTTAGAAATCATAATCTATGAGTGTCATTTTTAAACTAGCTCCCCAGGCCTTGCTGAGGCTCCTCCAAACTCTCCTCTTGTGCTCACAAGGTCCCCTCATGAAGCTGCTGAATTGGCACTTCCATAATCACTTCATGGGTTTCTCAACAAATTCCTCTCTGTTATATACTATCCCTTCAGTCTGGGGCGTGCTGTTTCCTTTACTTCATGATGTTCTAAATAAGCCTAATTGACCTACTATATTTTCATTTCTTGATAGGAACACGGAGAGTGACTAACTCTGGACTCTACCTGACATGTCTATTTTTCCATTACCACTACACAAAAAGCTTCAAAATTTCAACCAAGAAAGGGAAACCAAAATGAGCAACAGGGCTAAGGACAGAGCTCAGTGGTAGAGCACATGCTTAGCGTGCCTGACATACTCAGTTCCATTCTCAACATCAAACAAAAAATAAAATATTTGAACTATGGGAAGATTTTTTAAACAATAATAATCTTAATAGATTTTCTGATCAGAGGTAGCCCTGCTTCTTTGTAGTGAATTATTTCTCCTAAATTTGGGGTTATTTCCAAATTTGATAGACATTTCTTTCTTATCTATAAATGGATAAAAAAAATGTTAACAAGGTCAAATCCAAAGGCAGAACAAGCCTCGTGGCATCAGATTCCAGATCACACTTCATGGTCACACATATCATTCACACTCTCTGAGCACATTTGTTCAAGAGGAAGAAGGAGAAAGAAGGAAGAGAAGAAATGATGGAGGGAGGGAAGGAAGAAAGAAAACAGAGAGGAAAGGAAGGAAGAAAAAGAAGGAAGGAATGGGTTTGGCGTGACTTTTAATTTTTAAAAATTATAGACATTTAAAGGTGAGAAAGACCTTTAAAATTACCTAGTTTTTACACAAAGTGCAAGGAAGTTAAACAACTTGCCTAATATCATATAGACCTATAGTTGTCAAACTACTGCATATTAGAATCATAAAGGGAGCTTTTAAAATTCCCAGTGCCCAGCCTGCACCTCATTAGGTCAATTTCTAGGGGGTTAAAAAATACTGATTCCAAGATCCCATCTCTAGAGATTCGGATGTAATTGGTATTGAGTGGCAATTGAGTATCAGATAATTCTTATATGCAGTAAAGTTTGACAATCTCTAATAGAGACAATGTTTTACTGAATCCATGATGCTGCCTAACAGTCATTTTCCTAGAAATGCTCTGACTCTATGTATTTGAAGATTAATTTTTCTAGAGTCAAGCTTATAAGTCTGTGGCATCTAGTATCCAGTATTTTCTTAGATTTGAAATTGGGACACTACTAACCCATTTTTACACTCAATAATTTCTCAAAGGTCATCTGCAGTGCCTATGAGAGCATATATATGGGTTCTTTCATTGCCCTTTGAAGTAATTCATTGAGATCTAGTTACATTCTCCAAATGCGTAGGATGTCCAGCTCTCCATCTTGGGAAGGGGGCCAGTGTCTAAAATACATACTCCCAGACTTTACTGATAATACTCATTTCCAAAAAAAGGAGGGCCTGAAAATCTGTATTTAAAATACAGACTTGGGATGAGGATGTAGCTCAGTGTTAGAGCATTTGCCAAGCATACACAGGGTCCTAGGTTCAATCCCAACACTTCAAAATAAATGAATGAATAATAGATAGATAGATAGATAGATAGATAGATAGATAGATAGATAGAGTACATGCTTCAGTAGACCTTGATATAGGCGGTCCCCATAACCCAGTTTGAGAAGCACTGATCCCACCCTGTCCCTGTATCTATATCTCCCTTGGGCTCTGTTAGGGTTTAGATCTAAAGTGTCCCCCAAAAGTCTCATATGTTCAGAGATGAATCTTTTGGAAGGTGCTTTGATCATGAGGGCACTAATCTATGAAATGATCCATTGGTGAGTCTTTCATAGCGAAATGTGATGTTAAGAGGCAGGGCCTGGTTAGAGGTAACTATCTGGGGGCATGACCTGGAAAGGTATATTCTTGTCCTTAGCTCCTCCTCCTAATTCTTCTTCTTTCCCCCTCCTTTCCTGGCTGCCATGAGGTGAGCAGCTTTCCTTTGCCATGCCCTTCCACCATGCCATATCTGTCTTGGAGCCAGAATACCATGAACTGAACCCACTAAAAGTGTGAGCCAAAATAAGTCTCTCCTCATTTAAACTGTGAGTGTCAGGTATTTTGTACTGAAGACAAGAAAAAGACCAACACAGAACAATTGTATGAAGAAAAGTGAGGTCTTTGATGTGATCGTACCTGACCATGTGATTCAAAAGCTTTTGGAACTGGTTTGTGGGATGAGAGTGGAAAGGTTGGGAGATGCAGGCTAGAGAAGCCTTTAGAATGCTGTAAGCAGAGCCTGAAGGATGATTCTTGTCAGAGGTCAGAAGACTGGAATGCTGATACCAGGAATCCAAATAGTAAAGACCAAGCTCAAGAGGTTTCAGTTGGGAATAAGGGCCCCATTATCAATTGGACTAGAAGCCATGTGTGTTACACTCTGGCAAAAAAAAATTGTTTACATTTTCCCTATGTTGTCCTGAGACTTTACAAGAGACTGAAATTAAGGATGGTGGACTAATTGATTGGACAGAGAAAATTTCAAGGAAGCCCAATGTTTGGGTTGTGGTATGTGTCTTTCTGGCTGCTTTTAGCCAGATCTATATAGTGAGAATCAGAAGCAAAAAGCAGAGCCAAAAAGATGTGAAAATTTTGCAACTTGACCAGAAAGGAAGCACATGAAAAGTTGGGGCCAAGGAGAGTATAGTTGCTGAAAAGAATAGAGCCATTAAAAAGAAACCAAGTATTTTGCATTATGACAATAGGAAAGATGCCTTGAAGGCATCTTAGGAAAAGGCCAGACTCACCTATTACAACCTCAAGGTGTAAAAGGGTAAACTCCTTTGAAGAGAGGCCCAGGATACACTGTTCATTCATGACAACCTGAGAAACTGTTCCTTGAATTCAGCCATCAAGGCACTCAGAGGCCTCTTCAGCCATGGTCCAAGGGGTCCCGGCTCCTACTCAAGCTGGCAGCTGATCTTGGCATCACCCACATGGTAATGGTTTTTCAAGCATGCAGAATAAAGAGTTATGGGGTCATGAAGCCTTCCACTAAGATTTCAAAGCAACGTGCCCCTGAGAGAGCAACACAAGAAACTGTGAGAGTGAAATTGAAAGTGCAGTAGAAACCCCAGAAATTTGGAGATGCTACGGATGCTAGGAATGTGGAGTGCAGAATGTCAGCAGAGGAAAGCTGCAGAGGAAAGCTAGCCCAAGAGAGAAGCTATGTGAGAAGCAAACAGCAAGGCCAGAGAGGTAGAGCTGCCCAAACCAAACCTTTTGGAGTACAAATCTCACTACAACTTGCCCCGAGTGCTGGACATGGAACTACAAGACTTAATGTTTTCCCTGTCAGTTTTCAGATTTTTTTTTATCTGATTCCTTTTCATCCCCCCTATTCCTCACATTTGGAATGAGAATCTTTAACCTGTGTCAACATATATTGGAAATATGTAACTTCTCTTTTTTTAAAATTTTTACAAGGACTCACAGGAAAGAGCTTTCCTGAGTGTCAGAGAAGACTTTACTTGGACTTTTCAGCAATACTGGAGCGTCATAGGACATGTCTAAGTAAATGTAAAAGAATTGAAGTTACCCCCTGTATATTATCAGACCATAGTGGATTAAATTGGAGATCAATGACATAAGAAACCAAGGGCCTCGGATTTAGCTCAGTGGTTCCACCGCATGCCTTGAAACCACAAGGACCAGAGTTCAATCCCTGGCAAATAAATAAATAAATAAATAAATAAATAAACAAACACCATCAATAACATAAGAAATCGCAAAACTCCAACAAACACATGGAAACTGAATAACACCCTCTTGAACAACCAATGGGTCACAGAAGTAATTAAAGAAGAAATTAAACAGTTTCTACAAATAAATGAAAATGTCAGTACAACATACAGGAATCTACAGGACAGTAAAACCATGACCTGAAATAAGCCTCTCTGCCTTTAAGTTGCATCTGTCAGGTATTTTGTCCTAGCAATGGGGAAGTTACTAATACAGGCTCTATCCTCATACTGTTTTTTTCTGAAGTATAAGAGTTAGGCATTGAATAAGTAACAAACACTGACTAGATAAGAAGTGATGAATTTTGTCTTACTTACTTTTCTCATTGCTGAGACAAAATACCCAATGCCCAAAGTTAAAGGAGGAAAGGTTTATTTAGCTCAGTTTGTAGAGGTTTCACTCCATAATTGGCTGGCTCCAAGGCAGGGTGGAATCACAGAGGAGAAACAGTTCATAGTGGGCAAAAGGTAGCAAAGCAACAAGGGACAAGGCAAGCCTCTTTCTGTCCCTTATATTGTATCCAGGCTACACGGATGAGGGCAGTGCCAAATCAATCAGTGGACTGATTTAGTA